TGCGAGCTCATTTTCATTGCTGCTGGAAGTGTGGAAGAAATGGGATGTGAAGGGAATGGTTCTTTTTAGTTTCACCTTACAAATCATCCTCACTGTCTTGGGTAGGCGTAGAAAATACAAAATTAACCATTTCTTCAAAGCCATTCTATGGTTTGCCTACTTTGGTGCCGATTGGATTGCCATTGCTACTTTGGGCAAACTTTCTGGCTCTTATGCAGAATCTACCGCCACCATGGTCTTTAGAGCTAACTGGGCCCCTTTACTCTTGGTACATCTTGGTGGCCCTGACACCATCACAGCTTATGCTTTTGAAGACAACAAGCTTTGGATTAGGCACCTCGTCGTCCTTGTTGTCAAAGTCATTTTTGTCATTTATGTCATTTGTTTGTCGTGGACCTTTTCTTGGCTCTCATTTTTGACTCTCCCTCTCATCTTAGCTGGAATTATTAAGTATGTAGAGAAGATATTGTGTCTCAAGCTGAATAACTCACAGAAAACAAAACCAATCATTTCTAATATGTTTAGTTTTCAAGATCATTCTGACCCCAGTGAGAATCAAACCCTTGGTCGCCTTCATAAAGAAAACCCAAACGTTTTGTCAGGTTATTTATTATTTACAATTATGAGACCTGATGTCAATGATTACCTCTCCTCCCAAAATCTTTCCGATGTTGGAACAAGGATCAAAGCTTATTTCAGGGAAACTACAGGTATAGACAGTAGTAGAGCTTTCCACTTTGGAAGCAAATATATTTATACAAGCACTGACAAAAAGGTTTTTGAAATATTGTCTATTCAACTAGGATTCATGTTTGATGTCGTTTACACCAAGGCTAGTTTGATTTACACCAAGTTAGGATGCTTCTTGCGCCTTACTAGTTTCACTAGTTGTTTCTCAGTTCTACTGCTCTTCTTTATCAGCATCGTTGATGAGCCAAAATTCCATGGCTCAAGAATTGATATTGCCATAACTGGCATCTTATTGAGTGGAGCTATTGCACAAGAACTTTATGCAGCATGGGTAATGCTTTCTTCTGATTGGGCAATTCTTGTTGCGGAATTTCATCATAATGTGTTGGTACGCAAAATGTTTAAGGTCACCTCAAAGTACTTCCCTTGCTTATTGCATCAAAGTAAAAGGTGGTCAAATCAAATGGGTCAATTTGATTTGTTGGAATATTGTTGGCGTTACAAGAAAAGGAAGGCAAACCAATCCCATGGCTTTCTACTGAAGATCACTATTGGCAGTGAAATTGCTGAAATGTTGCACAAATACTGGTTTACTAAATTTGTGGATGTTCCACCCTTTTTGCAACAAGAAGAAAATTACTTTCACCCCTTAGATGCAATCATAAAAGGAAACTCCTTAAAGACAACAAGAGGAGAAAAGGCATTGCAGAACCGTCAACCATTTGATCAACTAAAATGGAGCATTGAATTGGAGTTTGATCACAGCATCATAATATGGCATCTTGCCACAAGTGTTTGCTACTTACAAGAGGATCAGGATGATGAAAACATGAAAATTAGTAAACATGTCTCAGATTACATGATGTATCTACTGGCCATGTGTCCTGCCTTGCTATTGTCCGAGCATAGTAAGAGTTTTTGGCTTGATCATGCTTATCACAACCTCAAAGAACTTGTGTCCCCTGCAATTGATATAGGAAATGTTGCTTCCACATTACTTTCCAATTCAGATAATGTTCATGAAGAGGAGCTTGAATCCAGGTTTGATGTAATTAATTTCTTATTTTCATAGAATTATAAAATTAGAATTAAAGTAGTTTTATTTCTTTCTAAAATCCCCTCTTTTTTTTTTCTTAAGCTGCAGGGAGAGAACTTTTGAAAACCTAAAAGGAGAGGTGTTGAGACTAACCACAATTTTAAAGCAATCAGATAATAAATGGGAGATGATTAGAGATGTCTGGATAGAGATGTTTTTCTATGCAGCAGTTTCAAGTCAGCACATTAATCACGTTAAGCAGCTAGGAGAAGCATTGAATTTCTCTCACTCATCTGGCTTCTCGTAGCCCCTGTGATTATTGATAGTGTCTTATAGGCCCTGACATTGTCGATACTGTCTTAGTGTGACTGACACTTGCAAGCTTGGCGGCCTTATGTCTTATGTTTTTGAAGCCTTGAATGAATCTCACTCATTAACAAAATAGGGTTACAGTATTTATAGTACGTATATAGAAGTGAATGACATTTCTACCCTTGAATATAATACACACATAATACACTGTCATCCCCCTGCAATTTGTGCGGGATTGCAAAGCACGCATAAATTGGACCTTTGAGAGCAAAAAGCAGTGGTAGAGAGTGCTTTAGTAAGAATATCAGCACGTTGCAAAGTAAAAGGAACATGCTGTAGTAGAATGAAACGAGAAGCCACCCTCTCACGAACAGAGCGGATATCAATTTCAATGTGCTTCCTCCGCTGATGTTGAATGGGATTAAGAGACAAATAAATAGCACTGAGATTGTCACAATAAAGCACAGGAGGAGAAGAAAGAAGAAAACGTAACGCAGCCAACAACTGCCGAACCCAAATGACTTTAGCAACAGCATTAGCCATAGCACGGTACTCTGCCTCTGCACTAGAACGAGCTACGGTATGTTGCTTCTTAGAAGACCAGGAGATAAGAGATCTACCAAAAAATAAACAATAGCCAGAGGTAAATCGACAACTATCTAAACATCCAACCTAATCAGCATCACTATAAAGATGTAAGGAAATAGAAAAATCTTTGAAAAGCTGAAGTCCATACTGAATAGTACCCTTCAAATGTCGCAAGATTCTTTCACAGCCTGAAAATGATTCTTGGTAGGATTATGCATATACTGACAAACTTGATTAACAGCAAAAGCAATATCATCTTTCGTGTTGCTAACTGATTTTGATAAGAAATTTGAATAGCATCCCAAGCTTCCTTAGCTGAAAGAGTTTTACCCGGTTGAATTATCATCTATAATACCTCAGTAGAAATAGCAGCATGAATCCAGGACAAGATCTGAAAATCAATTTGCATCCAAGCCTCAAAATTTGGACTTGTAGGGGGTGGACGTGGATCAGTGCCATCAATATGCCCATACACTCCCTTGCTCTTAAAGACAGGGAACATCAATTCTTTCCAAATAGCATAATTTTCATGCGTCAGTGTCTCAGGGACAAAGGTCTTGATATTAGACACAGTGAAAACAGGGTGAGAGAAGATAGAAGGGATAGTATTATGATGGGTAGGATAGATGGTATTAGGGGTTGAAAAAGTGTAAGTACCGATAGTGGAGAGAGATGGTATAATTGGGAAATTTGGGATGGTGGGATTTGACGAAGTAGTAAAGGAGGTAGACGAAATAGAAGAAAATAAAGAAGATACTTGTTCGGATGAAGATGAAGGACTAAAGGACGAAGCCATGACAGAGAATTGAGAAAGAAGACAAGAAAGAAAACCCTAAATTAAAGACTCGGTGCTGGATGGAGGCTCTTATACCATGAAGCCGTGAATGAATCTCACTCATTAACAAAATAGGGTTACAGTATTTATAGTATGTATATACAAGTGAATGACATATCTACCCTTGAATATAATACACATATAATACACTGTCAATTTTAATTACATACTTAAAGAGGTGGCAATATATTTTACTTTACTAAGTAAATTTGTATTTGCTATTTGTTCATTGTTGTAAACTTTGATCCATGTAAATTAAACTCTTGAATGGTACAGTTTAAAAATAAAAATTTTTCTGATTTATATCTCATTTGTTGTAATAAATCTATATATATATATA